TGATAGGCAATGGAAGGGCGACCAACATCACCCCGCACGACCTCTGTCATCTTTTTTGACACCCGTAACCCGGTTATTGTCGAGCGCCTCGAACGTGCGAGCCCTCGCATTAACCTGAATTCCGCACCCACAACCTCCACTACCCCTAGGCGCGACCGCGTTCTGCCGCAGTGGATGACGACACATTCGCGCCGTCAGGAGCTCCTGGACGCCAGAGTCACAGCCGTCATGGACGGCTATGTGGACTCGGCTGAGTGGATGCGCATGTGAAGGGGTATGACACCCCTCAGAGGGGTTGGACTCCCCTCTGTGGCACATTGTGCACTTCTTGTGCACAAAGTTGCCCCCGATGTTGATGCACGAGTTTGAATGTTGTGGTCCAAGTGGTGTACGTGCATTGGCTAAGACTTTGGATGGGATGTTTGTGAGAGTTTGCAAGAGTTATTGTACTGATGTGCTACATAAATGGAAATGCAAAGTGGTAACATGAGCAATACACGAACAACAACGCAGGCCAACCGCTACTGTTCCGGTAAAAACAAACGGGTAACTACCCGTGTTTTGTATAAGCCCACAACGCCAGCAGCGATGTTCACGAAATCGCGCGAAACGCACAATGCCCTTATAGGCACAAAACGACACGCAAGTAGGTGGGACTCCAATGAGCATTAGCTGTAGTCTGCTCGTTTTTCGACCCAATCCATTTTCGGGTTTTAACCCAAATACACGCGAATTCCACTGGCGAGATACAGAGTGTGCCGTAATCAAGCAGCAAACCATGTTTGTAACTTGTGCTTTCGACCACGAGAGACCATGCAAGACCTCGCTTGGGGGAGAGGACCACTTTGCTTGCCTTCTCTAGCTGGCAACAGATTGGATTGGGGATCCCAGGCAGTTTGTGCCACCACAGTTATTTCTGGGCGGGCATTATTTTCGGGAACCTGCATTGGAGAGTCACTTTTGCCGAACCCTCGCACAGATATACTGTTACACCACATATTTCACCAAGCAGCCGCCCCTTTTCTTTTGTGCCGTACCTCTTTGCTCTACGAATCAGTGCAGTCAAAGCACTTAGTAGTTTTGTTTTCTCTGGCAGGATTTTCGAGACAAAAGCAGGAGGTTGGGAGATTTCGGCCCACCTGCAAAAGGAAATGAAATTTACCGGAGAATATTTGGGCGGATTGCTGGTCACATAACTCTTCCACAGTGGAGTCTCGAACCTCCAAACCCGGATTCCACGGTGGAAATAGGCAGAAAAAACACCCTCCCCAAAATAGCTGCAAGTACTGTAACTGGACGAGACCCGGTTTGAGCCGCGTTGGCAAAGCCAACATACGGATTTGCAGAACCTGGTATACTGTAATATACCCTGTAAAGGGGAGCCTAGTTTAGAAACGCACTTCGCAACGCCAGGTCTACAAATCAAACTTGTCCATCGCAAGGCGTGCCACACTTGCGCAAGACGCCAAACGAAGCCGCACGAAGGAAAACAAGGGGCACGACGAGAGCTGTGTATGGCGATTTTGTTTTTGTGAGAGGGTATGTTTCAGTTGTCCTTTATAAGTGAGCTGACTGGAAAGAAAATCGCAACAAAAAAGTTTAGTTGTCCTTTATAAGGCCCACGCGAGTGGGTATGCTTTCAACTCCTACGTCAATTTTTACGACCTCCGCACATGACGACGCTTCACTTCGGACACGCCCTTACGACTTTTATCCCAGTGGCAAAGGCAGGTTTTAGGGGAAACCCCCTTTGGTATTACCCCGGCTGTCGATCGTAATCCGCCTACTGGGTATCGAGGTAAGGAATGCATTTTATCCCAGTGGCATCTGAATTCAAAGGCAGCAATTGGTTTCGGGTTTCCCTGAAAACGAATATGAGGGAGTGGAAGCATCGGTACAGGATTGCGAAATTGCTACTGGAGTTACATGAAACGCATCTCTCGCAAAATTGCTTCGCAGCCATCCCGACCCATCATTTTGACAGCAAACCCATCAAGTTAAAGCGACGGGCAACTTTTGAGTGGCAAATGTGCACCGTCGCTTTAATCATTTTGCCTTCTCAACCAGGTAACAGGCGTTTGCAACAGCAGCATTGCTCCAGCTAACTTCCCACCTCCCAAGTGCCTATACCGTTCCTCTCCCCATTTATGCATTCCTTGCCGCTTTCATTTCTTACCCTACTACTAGCAAGAAGGTGACTCAATAAGACCAACACACCAACATCTCTGTGCTATCCGGCTTCAGACGCCCTGCTTTCCATAATGTAGGAGTATGACGGACTTAGTAGTAACTGTTGAGGCTGGCGCTACTGCAACCATGAGCTCTGTCAGTGCCGCAAGCAACCATCATCGCGTCAGATCTGTGTTGAGAACAGATCTCAGCAGGCTTCCAGTAGCAGTCGTGAACGGAGACGGCCACACGTGGCTCAAGTACGGCAAAAAACACATCGGAAACCACGTCAGGTCGTAAACTCTTGTCAGACTGACCCTTTTATTTACTTGGGCCACAGACAATAAGTTGCTAGTCCAAATGACCCTCGAGACTGTCTCTCCCGCAATGATTTCTCACAGGAAAAGGTTTCAAGATTTAGATGGACAGAAACGGCTGATGGCCCTACATTTAGAATGATATTTTCTACTTCTGTGCAAGCACTCGGCCCGAGGCACAGCTGTAGTATCTGTCCCAGACCTTTACTTTTGAATAAATGAATTCTGGGACCCACTCAACCTGCTGGGGAACCCACGTTACCACGTTTGTATCCCAACTACTAGTAGTAGCTTCTTTTGACGACCATGATTCTCTTTGGAAATATTGTCACGTGTTCTTTACCTCTTATCCCCCCACCCAGGTCCTACTACAGGTGTAACCTAAAGCCTGAGGTACTCCTCTTACCATGTTCCATTCTCCTCTCCCATTTCTGTCAATCCCACACGCAGGTTCTAGGGCAACAAAGGTGTTCGGATGAGTCTATTGAAGCCCGCGGTTATCTCCATTCTCACATTCCATTACCCTTCTCACTCGCACTCCCCTTTTCTTCACCAACCCCACACGCGGAGCTAGGACAGGAGGGGAGCTTGGTCCGAGATCCCTGAAGCATTTCCATTTTCCATACCACTGCCTAGTCTTTCTCTTATTTCTTTACCCCCCTCACATTGGTGCGAGAACAACAGGCGCACTTGGTCCAAGATCCCTGAAGGATGAGTTATTTCTCAGATTCCTTTCCTCTCTCTCTCTTTCTCTGATGCTTGCACAACAGGTACGCCTGGTTTGAGATATCTGAAGCCCAATTTGTTCCTCATTCCCACATTCCATTCCTCTCTCACATGTTCTCTCAAAAGTTTCTAATGTAGGTGCTACGACAGCATGTGCGCTGGTCCTATATTTTTTTAGCCTGAGGCGCTTCATTTTCATATTCCATTCCTCTCACATGTTTCTGTTATCCTTTCACAGCAGAGTTTCTCACGTTTTATTTATTCTCTTATCTCCCCAAGCAGGTCCTACCACAGCTCAAGGTACTACGCTAACCTAGGTTCAGTTCCCCTTCCCATGTTTCTCTTTTCTCCTCATCCCACACGCAGGTGTCCGAGACTTTTGAAGCCTGAGGTACTCTCCATTCTCACATCCCATTCCCCTTCCATTCCCTATCTCTTCACCCCCCTCACCCCCCGCGCGGGGGTGCTACGGCAACAGGTACACTTGGTCCTGAAGCATGAGATAATTCCATATTCCTTTCCTCTGCCACATCCTTTTCTTATGTCTTTACCCCCCTCACGCAGTAGTTGCTAGAACAACAGGTGCGCTTTGTTCAATGTACACGAAGAATGGGATAATTCCCAAATCCATTCCTCTCTCACATCTTTCTCTGATCTCCTTACCCTCCTCACATAGGTGCTACAAAAACAGGTGTGCCCAGTCCAAGATTCCTGAAGCCTGAGCGACTCCTTGTTTTCGCATTCCATTCTACTCTCACATGCTTCGCTTGGTCCAAGATTCTTAAAGCCTGAGGCACTCTTCATTCCCACATTCCGTTCCTCTCTCACATGTTTGTGTTATCCCCCACACACTTAAAGTCGGTGCTAGGACAACGTGTCCGTTTGAAGCCCGAGGCAATTCATTCCTATTTCGCGCATACTTCTCTTATCCCCTTATCCCCATAATGTAGGTGCTACGACAAGAGGCGCACTTGTTCGAGAATCCTTGAAGCCTGCGTTACACCTCATTCCCACGTTCCATTCCTCCCTCACATGTTTCTCTTGTCTGTTTACCCATCTCACCTTGCTAGAACAACAGGTGTGCCTGGTCCAAGATTCCTGTAGCCTAGTTACTCCCCTCCAATCCTCTTTCACATGTTTCTCTCACGACTTTACCTTCCACTTGTGGGTGCGAGACGACAGGTGCGCCACGCCAAATATCCCAGAATCCTGAGTTACTCATTCTCACACTCCATTCCTCTTTCACGTGTTTCTCTTTTCTCTTCATCCCCACATGCAGGTGCTACTACAGGTGCGCCTGGTCCAGGAGCCCGAAAGACTGCCCTGCCAGAAAAACCATCGACTTCGGCCCTGCACGCCCTTCTAGTAGCACTGCTACTAGTTCTCACCTCCCAGCCGCTAACGCCAATGGGGTAGACAGCAGCAGTGCAACACCGCAGGCCATGGTAGCAGTACCTGCTGAAGACCTACGAGCAGACACTGCCAGCAGCATTCCAGTCTGCCACTCAAATGCAGATTGCGGGCCGGATTCAGCTCGCCTCTCAGTCTCAGCCTGCCACGAGCTCACACTCGTCACGGTCTACCACGAAGACCACAACCACCAGGAGTGCGGGCCTCCCCCACGGCGCCACAAGCGGCAAGCGGCCCGGCTTGAGAAGGCAGCAGCAGCGGCGGCTGCAGCGGCAGCAGCAGCAGCGACCGCCAGCAAGCTGGTCAAGGCCAGGACGCTTTCCCCACGGCTCACAAAGATTCTTGCCAAGGCCCAGGAGAACTGGTTATTGATGGGTGCTACTCAGGAGGAAGATGCTTCACATCCCCCTTCACATGCCCCTTCACATGCCCCTTCACATGCCCCTTCACATGCCCCTTCACATGCCCCTTCATATGCCCCTTCACATTCGCCTTCACATTCACCTTCACATTCCCCTTCACACTCCCATTCATATGCCCCTTCACATGCCCCTTCACATTCCCCTTCACATGACCCTTCACATTCCCCTCCACATGCCCCTTCACATGCCCCTTCACACGCCCCTTCACATGCCCCTTCACACGCCCCTTCTCATGCCCCGCTGCACACCTCTGCAAGTTCCTCTCTGCATGCGTCTTCAGGTGACCCTCCATATGTACCACCACACGTCCTTCCACACGCCCCTCTGCACACCCTTTTGCACACCCCTCTGAACACCCCTCTGCACTCCCCGCAGCACACTACTTTGCACACCTCTCTGCACAACCCTTTACACGCCCCTCCACATGCCCCTCCACATGCCCCTCTACACGCCCCTCCACATGCCCCTCCACATGCCCCTCTACACGCCCCTCCACATGCCCCTCCACATGCCCCTCTACACGCCCCTCCACATGCCCCTCCACACTCCCCTCCACATGCCCCTCCACTCGCCCCTCCACACACCCCTCCACACGCCCTGCCACACGCTCTTCCACGTGTGTGCAGTCAGGATTCCCTCAGCTCGCTCCCTTCCAGATGCAGCAATGGAGCCGAGCAGCAATCGCCTCCGTTACACGCTACATTGACGACAGAAGAGCATGCAGTAGAACACCAGAGTGGGGCAGGTATGCCGCAGATGCTGGTTACATCGCCACAGACAGCCACTGTATTGGGACTTGTGGGATGCTGTCCGGGCAGCAGCAGCAGTGCTAGTTTGTTGCCGCACCACGAGCAGAAGCGGCAGCTGCAGCATTTATACCATCCTGTATTTGATGTACTCGGGGGAGGCAACAGCATAAGTGTTCAGGACTTCATAGAGTAAAACCATGCAGCCGCGGCACACACAACGCATCACACTGGTGTTTTCACTGGGATGCAAATACTTGCTATGGATCAAATGGGCACACATGGGTGTCTAGTACGGTAGCAAAATGGTTCATGTGTAAATATTTCGTTTCCCTCCAGTTATCAAGGATGTATAAACGATCAGCCTTTGCAACACCTGTGTGTGGGTGGGTGTGGGTGTGTGTGTGTGAGGAGGGAGGGGGGGGGGTGTATGTGTGTGTGTTTGGGTGTGTGTGTGTGTGTTTGTGTGTGTGTGTGTGTGTGTGTGTGCGTGTGTGTGTGTGCGTGTGCGTGTGCGTGTGCATGTGTGTGTGCGCGTGCGTGTGCGTGCGTGCGTGCGTGCGTGAGTGCGTGCGTGCGTGTGTGCAAGTGTGTGTGTGCGTGTGTGCGTGTTTGCATATCTGCGTGTGTGCGTGTGTGCGCGTTTGCGTGTCTGCGTGTGTGCGTGTGTGCGTGTGCGTGTGCGTGTGCGTGCGTGCGCGTGCGCGTGCGTGCGTGTGTGCGTGTGTGCGTGCGTGCGTGCGTGCGTGTGTGTGTGTGTGTGTGTGTGTGTGTGTGTGTGTGTGTGTGTGCGTGCGTGCGTCTATGTGGGTGGGTAGGTGGGTGGGTGTGTGTGTGTGTGTGCGTGTAGTTGGTGGGTGGGTGGATGGGTGGGTGGGTGTGTGTTTTAAAATAGTAGATAACTTAGGAGGCAGGGAAACCCTAGGAGAGGAGATTGACGAGAGTAGCAGGAACGAGAGAGATGCCAAAGAGGGGTTTCAATATTGAGAAAGTTACAAGATATAGAAACGAGCAAGGCAAGAACAAATGGTGCACCACCAACAATAAGTGCAACAACAAAATAGAGCTACATCTACAGGCAGTTACAGATATATATACATCACGACACACCCCCTAACTGCCTGCAGCACATAGGTATAGAAAGTCACATAACCTGAAGGGGTTCACGAGGCAGCGGAAGAAGCAGCAGCAGGCAAGAGCAGTGGTAGCCGGTGCAGTGGTGGCAGATTCAGCTGCACCAAACCCTCAGCCACGGCAGATGCAGCAGCAGCGGGTGCATGTGGCAGCAGGGCCCTGGAGAGGGGGTGCGTGCGGCGGCAACAGGCGGCTGCACAGCAGGGCTCAACGGTAGCGCGCGCAACAGCAGCAGGCAGCAGCAGCAGCATGTGCATGTGGCGGCAGGGGCGGCAGCAGTAGGTGCCACGGTAGTAGCTGGCGGCAGCTGCAGATGCGGCACAACCTCTCCCGCCACCTCCTCACCCTCCCCCCCTTCCCCCACAGCGATTGGCGCTGTGGGGAGAGAGAGGAGAGAGGAGGACGGCGGCTGGTTCCTGTGGGTACACTCCCGCCACCCCCTCACCCTCCCCCCACAGCAGCACGCGCAGCATTGAGGCGGCAGGCGTCGATGCAGGCGCTGGAGCGGGCGCTGCTGTTGTCGCAGGAGTCGTAGTCGCAGCTGCTGCAGGAAGGACGGGAGCAGCAGCATGGTCGACGAGAGGGTGGGCGGTTCGAACTGCATGGGTGCGACGGGATGACGCGTGACAGGGCGGCCGAGCTGGTAGGGGACACCAGGATTGACAAGCCAGGAGCCGACAACGGACATGTGATACGGCTCATAAGCCTGCAGGGGATAGGGGCAGGGGATTGGCTCCATGCGATCCCCACACGCGGTGACCTCACCTTCTCACCCGGACAGTTTGCTGTGGCACTCGGTTTTCGCCTAGGACTGCCCCTGGCGGTGACAGAAAAATGCCCCTGCAAAGGGAAGCGGTCAGACATCACCGACAGGAGCCTCCCCAACCACCTGCTGCGGTGTGCCGACGGTGGGGACTGGACGAACACCCACGACGCCCTAGTGTACGCGGCACTGCGAATGGCCCAGGAAGCTGACTACATGACCCTGCATGAGACGGCAGTCTTCTCGCCTATAATCAGCCAAAAGCGAGCAGACCTAGTCATCCGTGACAAGGAGTCATCAGAGATCTGTGTCGAGGACGTCACGATGACCGACCCGGTCCTGCAGCGGCGCGACAAGAGGGCAGTTAAACCACCTGGGTGGGCAGCAGAGGATGCAGCAAGGGGGAAGCGGGGGTTGTATGAGGGCCGGCCGGGATTTGTGGGGGTGTTCGGCCTGGCGATAGAAACTTATGGGGCCTTAGCAAAGGACACTCAAAGGTTCCCCCGCCTCCTTGGGACCCAGGCGGCCAAGAAGAAGCACAGGCAGGGGAGGCTCACCTCAGTCGCCTCCAAGATCAGAGCTCACAACCGACAGCGCTGGTCGGTGATGCTGCAGCGCTGCCATGCAAACGCCCTGATGGCAAAGTCCAACAGGGCGGTTGAGGCAGCGTTTCCACAGGCCGCAGCCGACCCGTGGGAACCTCGCCTCGGGAACCTGTGGCAGGTCCTGGAGGATGACCTGGCCCAGGTGGCAGACCTGGAAGCATAGACGGCTGGGACAACCTCCAAGGCTTCCCACTCCCACGAGGCCTCCCTTGCAGGCCACGGTAGGACTGGTATGGCTCATCTGCAGGCTGGTGCAGCATGCTCGCCTGGACGAGCTGACGCGACATCTGCACGAAAGCGTCGAAGAAGTCGTCATGCTAGCAGAGCGCGAACACCTCCAACGCACTATAAACCAGACACCAGAGCGTGGGACAACGCTCGAGCGCTGCTAGTGATGGCGTCGTGCGCAACAAAGTGCGCGACGACCACGGGACGACACACCCCGGAGCGACGAACGCAACAGAAAACCAACGACGTGTCAATATCACGACGTCGAACGATGAGTCGGCACTCCTCTCATTGATGCCACTCAAGCTACAACGTGTGCCATGCCCGAGTCAACGGGGTGGTCCGATGGTCCAGGCGTTGATTTTTAAGATGAATGTAATTTTCGACGCCAGCTACGTCTTGCCGGATGCGGCGAAAATCCGATACGCCATGTCGTTACTACGAGGACCCACCATGGATTGGTGGCGCGTCATCGTCACGAAGCCGAGCGACTACGAGCCGCTACCGCAAGTGAGGGACCATCTGGGCCCTAGGCACCGACGTACTTAGTAGAGGTCGCCCAGTATCGCACGTGGGGCGAGTGGTGTCAAACATATGTTATAGCCTGTTTAGGCTGTAGTGGGTTAGACAATAGGGGGTACAGCATTTCTAGGGTTCCCTATTTGTACCCATCTCATTTCTAGTTCATTCATTCCTCGCTAATTCTCACATGGTATAGAGCGGGTTCCCTAGTGGAACCGTTTTCCCTTGGGCCCACCACGTCGAAATTTTTTTTTTCCTACCCTAACCGAAGCGCGCATCGCCCTTAGCGGCCCGCCCTGCCTTCGCGGCCGCAGCCGACCCGTGGGAACCTCGCCTCGGGAACCTGTGGCAGGTCCTGGAGGATGACCTGGCCCAGGTGGCAGACCTGGAAGCATAGACGGCTGGGACAACCTCCAAGGCTTCCCACTCCCACGAGGCCTCCCTTGCAGGCCGCGGTAGGACTGGTATGGCTCATCTGCAGGCTGGTGCAGCATGCTCGCTTGGACGAGCTGACGCGACATCTGCACGAAAGCATCGAAGAAGTCGTCACGCTAGCAGAGCGCGAACACCTCCAACGCACTATAAACCAGACACCAGAGCGTGGGACAACGCTCGAGCGCTGCTAGTGATGGCGTCGTGCGCAACGAAGTGCGCGACGACCACGGGACGACACACCCCGGAGCGACGAACGCAACAGAAAACCAACGACGTGTCAATATCACGACATCGAACGATGAGTCGGCACTCCTCTCATTGATGCCACTCAAGCTGCAACGTGTGCCATGCCTGAGTCAACGGGGTGGTCCGATGGTCCAGGCGTTGATTTTTAAGATGAATGTATTTTTCGACGCCAGCTACGTCTTGTCGGATGCGGCGAAAATCCGATACGCCATGTCGTTACGACGAGGACCCACCATGGATTGGTGGCGCGTCATCGTCACGAAGCCGAGCGACTACGAGCCGCTACCGCAAGTGAGGGACCATCTGGGCCCTAGGCACCGACGTACTTAGTAGAGGTCGCCCAGTATCGCACGTGGGGCGAGTGGTGCGCGGGTCTGCGTGGGAGATTCGAGCGGATTGCGGCATCGAATTCCGCAAAGCAGAAGCCGCGCACTTGGCGCCAGCTCGATTCTGTCCAAGACTACATAAGCGGATTCCTGGCGCTGTGTGAGTAGATTGGGTGCATGTACATGGGAGACAAAAACCTGAAATTGCGCAAGAAATTATGCTCCGCGGCGTCATGGACTTCAACGAAGTCCTTTCCTGGCGGAAAAAAACTCGTTTTCCTCTGCCGACCGAGAATGGAGTCCTATAACAACTGGGGACACTGAGCTCGTGGGACGAACGAGGGCGCCACAATACGCGCCGTCGTCGCGAATGCCACTGCCGCGCCATTCAAAGGGCGCTGCTTCGCGTGCAATCGGCCGGGGCACCGCAAAGGCGAATACCCGGAAGCTAAGGGAAAGGAGGGAGTCGAACAGCAGAAACAAACCAAGCAGCAGGAAAACGCTGGAAGTCAGTAGCAGACGGGCCCTCTATTGACAAGTCACGCTGCATACCCGACCCCACTGACCCTCACCGAGTGACAGCACCGATTCACACAGTCGACCACACTCGGCTGAACAAGGAGGGTACAGTGGTAGACGGTCCTATACTGCTTAGATAGAAAATTCACACGGAGTTATTTAAGATATTTGTGGACAGGGGAGCTAGTCACAGCTT